AAGTTCTAAACCAATATGATAATAATAGAATCTGCTAAAGGAGAATTTTAATATCTTCATAATCCCCTGCTGTCCAGAATTAAAGATATAAGTATCTCAGAAGAAGAAAAAGTGTTTATAGCAGCAGAATACATCATCACAAGACAACGCATAAATATATTTGGATGAGTTTTTACATAACAGGGATGAGTTTAATGGGCCATACCCATGAAGATGATGGGGGCCATCAGATAATTCTGATCTCTTTTATGTTTTATCGCAAAGGGAAAAGAACACTTTTATCATTCAACAGTAGTTGATGAATTGAGGAGGGACCCATGATCATCTGCTGAACAAATCTACCTGGCACACCGTCACAGTCTTCTTTTTCTTTTATTTTTCCTGCCATCCAAACTGCTTTTTCTTTACCCATTTTTGTTCTCTATAGTGAACCTTTAGTTCCTTTCCTTAAAATATCATTTTCATTTGGGTAAAGACATGCTAACATCTTTAATGATTACGATACAAAATCTTTGACTGGTCTCTCTCTCTCTCTCTCTCTCTCTCTCTCTCTCTCTCTCATACAAACATTACGCATGATTAGAGTGGAAAAAAAACGCTGTGTATATATAGTCACACAAAAATTATGCTTTGGAAAGCAAGATTTAAGAAGATGGATACTAATTACTAGTCTAATTAGAATGCTTATATACTACCTATGCAACAAAAGTACTTGTACTACATTTGTTTACCATTGATTTATACAAGTCGCATATTGAGAACTAAATAAGTATTTTTACCACATGTTTTGGGTAGAAAAATGAATACTAGTTAAACTCTTATGCAAAACAAGACAAACGAGAGAGGAGATGTTCAAACTTTGGCTTTGGATGAAAGGGCTCTAGATCCTCAGAGCTAGGAGCTTCATATGTTTTCACCGCGTTTTTATTTGACCATATACTAAGTTCTTCTATGATTAGGTCATGAAATAAAGCTAGCTAGAATTAGGTCTCTGTATAACAGTACAAGGCTGCTAAAGTGGTAGCAATAATGTCTTCTCAGTTAGTGCAAGGTTTCTATGGTTGAGAAGTGAACTTCTAGTCATGATTACAGCAAAAACAGGGCCTTTTTTATGTTTGTTATCCTTTCTTTAAATTTGATTTATGGCTTTTACACCACAAGCACAACATCAAATGAGTTGTCCATAACCAATTACATTTAGAGAGAGAGAGAGAGAGATCACCAAGAGGAGAGCTAGAGGGCTTTAAGGTCTTTTTCCGAAAGAATTACTTTTTGTGTTCTTTACCAACCGTCCCGCACAATATTCATGCCTAAGAGAGATCAAACAATGCCCGGATCAACCTTATTGAAGGAGGGAGCTTTTGATCATTTTGCATAAAGAGATTCCAAACTCTTCCATTTCTCCAATCCAATGACAAATCACATTTGCTTCCTAATAAAATATGTAAGCCTGATTCAACCTCGAACCCTTTCAGTCATTTAGCATTTCAAAACCACGTTCCTAGCATGGATTTTAGCCATTTTATATTAAGAGAGAGAGAGAGAGAGAGAGAGAGAGCTGTGTGAGTAGTTTTAAATGGGGTTCTAAAGCCATGCAACCTTTCACACGATGATGATCTTGTAGAAGGGTAAGAGATAAAGCAAAGCAAAGCAAAGGGCAAAGGGAGGATGGTGGGGATGTGGGCGCTTGTGGAAGACTGTAGGCTGGCTTTGAAAATCAGATTCCCAAATGTCGGCTGCTGTCTATCAATCTCTATCAACATATATCATTTTAGTTTGTGCACAAAAGACAAATGTGTAATTAGATTCTTCTTTTTTCCTTACAGAGCAATGAGATCATATAGATGTAGCTTTTCATGTGAGTTCTGGCCCTTCTCTGGGAGCCTATTATGCCTCCTGTCCTAAGGGCACATCTGTCATTTGCTAACTGTATGCAACAGCTTTAGTTTCTGACCTAGATGTCCTGGTATATATGACCATATGTCATCATGCTTATCAATCAAATTCAAGTTTAAAGTTGGACCAACTCAAACACTGAGACTTGGTGGGTGGCCTGAACTTTGCAGCCACTACTTAGACCAGAGACTTAATTAATTCATAGATTGTTATAAACAAAAGGTGTAAGACATCACATCCAAGGGGGAAACAAGGAATTTTATAGGGGAGGGATTGGGGCTAAACATTAGGGAGTGTCTAACTTCTTTTTATCCAAAAAAGAGTGTACGTGTGCAAAGGACCCGTAGCTCAAATAGTTAAGGACAGTTACTCATTAATCCGAATATAATGTTAAGATTTTCTCATACTGGGCCTCTTATGATATTGTGAGCATGTAAGAAAAGCTTTTCCTTGGGCCAAACTATTGGGCCCTTCAAAAGGTAGAGTTTTTGACACGTGTTCCTCCATCAGTCCACGTCTTGAGGCCAATAGGAGCCCAAGCAATTAAGAGCCCAAATCTTCCCTCGAACTAAAGAAATTAGATTAACCAAAAACCAGTAGAGGTAAAGAAACGGAGGAGAGACAGAGTGTGCCGCGTGAAGTTGAAAATGTCGATACTGTGGGAGAAGAGCGGGACATGGCGGTGGATAGTGAACAAGACCCGTGACTCGAAGCCCTTCTTCTTGGCCTTCGCTACCGTATGCGGCGTCGTTCCGGGTGTCATTGGCTACTTCGTTATGCAGACCACCAACTCCCGAAATGAACAGCTCGAGGCCGAACTCCGCCGCAACGCCCGACCCGAATCAATCGTACGTTTTCTGTTCAACCCAATTTGTTTTCTGAAATTATTTTCGATTTTAAGAAATGGGTTTTGCTTGTAATAGCCTAAAAAGTGTTCCTTTATTGGATATCAAAACAACTATGGAGACTTAAAGCAACCCCTTTCCCAATTTTGAAGAAACTAGCTAATCAAATTGGTGATCAGATGATCTGAAATTGACAGTTGATTTGTGTGGGTTGTTTTTGCTTGATGGAATTGAAAGTTTCAATCTTGACTTGTTCATCAAGCTGTATATGTTCTAGAAGTAGTGGGTATGATAAAAACGATTTCATTTTGTCTACGAAGTGAACAGAACAGTTTGGTTTGAGTAAAACCAAGACCATGACATCCTTATTGATGCAGGGATCTGTGTAAGCTTAAGACTTTAGGTAAATCGCATCTAGATATCTAGCTAAATGAATTTTACCCGCAGGCAGTGTGTGTTGTTGAATCTTATGGAACCAATTAGTTGTGCTTCAATTATCTGTTTGTTGAGTTAGTTTTGCTAAGAAAATCCCCCCACTAGAATTTTAGCGCCTGCCCGCCTACTTGATTGTTTACACTTTCATGTCTCAAATTTGTTGTGATTTTGAAAATGTACGGAAAATTGAGGTCAAGTATTGCTTCCATGTTTTCCTTACTTGGGCTTTTGAACCGATAATTGCTCGTAGATAACACCTATAACTTTTTCTTGGTTCCACATTTAACTTCTCCGCAAGCTGAATTCATCAGAAACAGCGAATAAATTGGATCTTGTTGAGGAACTATCACTGGTTTGTCCCATTACAAAGTCAGGTTAACTCATTTGGCACTAATCGCTATCGTCGATTGGAAATAGTGAATAAGTCATGTTATGTAAATCAACATTGCAGATATAAAGTTTTAATAGAATTTTGTTATTGAAGGCTAAAGTAACTTGCTCAGTTCCAATGGATTTAAAATTTGGGTTGTTTCTTCGAAGCAGTTTCATACTCTGAATCAAGACAAAAGCTGACAGTATATTGCTTGAAATTTGTATCAGAGGATGGGGCAAGTGAATAAAGAAAGATTGGCTGAATTCCTTGGTGAGTTGCAGCGGAAAGAAAATACAAATGATCGCTATGTTGCTGCACTGAAAGGAGAGACATTGACTAGGAATCCATATGTGAGAATTCAACCGATTCCGAAGCCAAGCAACACTGAAGCTGACAAGGAACAGAAGTAGATGGAGATATGTGCATCTGTTACCGCCATGAACACTTTTTGCCTTCAGGATATCTGTATATTTCTTCAGAACAACTATGGGGTTGGTATTTTATGTTTTGGATGTTATGTTTAGGCACTATTTGGTGAGCTGTGTTTTCCTTTAATGAATATTTAAGTGCAGTAAGAACTCCCGGAGAAGAGAGACATCCGAGAGCTAACGCACATTTCTTCGTTCTACACTCTCTCATTGCTTTTGTCCCTTCAATAAGAAAGCTCTATAGAAGTCTATCACACCAAATTCTTTATAAGAGTTTCTACAAGTCTAGAATGAATACATCCCTTTAGTTTACATGTCGTGCCTCTTCAAGGAGTTCCACCACGGGGTGCTTATTCAGGGTAGCAAGCTATATGATATCCACCTAACATGCATAAAACTGTGAAGTTCATTCCAAATCCGTTATGGTGGTCGCAATACCATTAAGAAATGCACAATCTGATCGATATGTAGCTCATCACCATGTCGAAACAAAAGTCCTTCGCTCAGGGCAGATTGAGCACACCTGCACTTAGATTGAATAGAGAGAGAAGTAAATCAATGATTGATTCTGCATCTAAGCCACCAGCACTACTTAGCTAGCAATATTTCAAGCAGTGAATTACCGTGAATTCTGTGATATTAATTCTTACGCATACCATGACACTATCAGGTTTTGATTATCATGGATGCCGAAGTGCTTGGTTCACAAGTACTTGGCATGGCATTGGCACAGCAAGTGTGAGGAACTGGTGCAGAGCCTGAAACGATTTTCTTTCCCTTTCCTGCCACACGCCTTTTCTCCAATAAGACAGACAGATTAGAATAGATTAGATTGAGTCAGTCAACTCATGTGATTATGTAAAAGTCGTTAATTATTCAATGAATAAAATACTATCACGTCATTTGGTGAATAAAATTCGGTGCACATATTTGGCCGTCCCTTAGAGCATCCACAGTGGGGGGGTGTATTTTCGGGGGTGTAAAGCCTCTTTCCCTTTCCTGCCACACGCCTTTTCTCCAATAAAACAGACAGATTAGAATAGATTAGATTGAGTCAGTCAACTCATGTGATTATGTAAAAGTCGTTAATTATTCAGTGAATAAAATACTGTCACGTCATTTGGTGAATAAAATTCGGTGCACATATTTGGCCGTCCCTTAGAGCATCCACAGTGGGGGGGTGTATTTTCGGGGGTGTAAAGCCACTTTTCTCCATTTTTCCTCTCCTTTTTGTAGCTGGGTCGCACCTGCAAGAGATGTAAAAAAAGATGTACAATTGCATCATAATATACATCTCAAGGTGGTGATGTAATTATACATTCATATACACCCCCTCATTGCGGGTGATTCCGATCATAACAGGTGTATATTTAACATACACCCCCCACTGTGGATGCTCTTAAAGCATTATATTTAGCGTAGGAAGACCTACCCAACAAGACCAAGTTCAACAGCTGCTTTATGCTGGGCTGGGAGTTTCTCGAGTGCAGCATGAGCAAAAGCCGCTTCTTTATCAGAGAGAGTTCCATCTTTAGGCAAAATCTCAGTAAAGTTGACGAACTATATATATGTATAAGAAGAAAAAAAACATGCATTTAGTTAAAAAGTTATCGAATAACTATATTGAAAAAAAGTTGTATTTTGTGAGTAGTGGTGCAATTAATACCTGAAAATTATCAAATTTTCTTTTAGGGATCATTTCCTGAAATTTCTTCATGTGTTCCCAGCATCCATCATCAGTTCCAACAAGAACAATCGAGAGTGCATATGAACTGCTTGTAAGAAAATTTAAAGTAGGTTAGTTCTCAACTTATGACATGTTTACTTACAAGGAAAAAGAAATGGGGAAGGGGTTGTTAGAACCCGTTTAGTTTGTGCTGACAGTTTGTAGTCTGTTTGGTTTGGGGTTTGATCCCCCCTAATTTATAAAAAAAAAAATTGAAGAAGTAATGAATCGGGAACTAAAGAATTTGGGAATAGATGGAATCGGATCAATTATTCCCTTTAATTGATATGACTGCTAGTTTTGAGGGTATTTGATTACGGATTTTACCATAAAACTCCAATAATTTTTTTTCCAGTATATGTAAGTAAACATGCCATGCATTTTGATTGATAGCTAATAGAATATGATGATGTGTCTGCAGCAAATCAACAATGTTGGGCTTACCAAAATTGGAAAGCAAGTAGAACGTACGCTTAAGCTCAGTCTAATTTTGGTAAAACATTGATGTATGTCTTCAGTTAGAAGTCAGACAACATAAAGATACAAGCAAAGAATCCATTTGATTTTTCGCTATAAAACTATGGGCTCAAGGCCAAAAGTCTTAAGAAAATTTGAGAGCCTAAAGCAAGAATCGATTAATCTTAAGCTTCTATGTACCTTGCATTTACAATTGATTCGATGGTTTTTGCCCCTTCTGTACTCAACTCTCCATCGCTTGTGTTGAAAAAGTTTTTGGTAACCTTTTAATCAGAAGATACCGTAAAGAATAAGATTATGCATGTTCTAAGACTTTTGAGAGAGAGAGAGAGAGAGAGAGAGAGAGAGAGAGAGAGTAGGATTGAAACCTTGTTATCAGCAACAAGAAAAAGTGTTTGAAATCGGCCACCCTTTTGCTCCACAATGTCCACCGCATAATCAATTGCCGGAGCATAAGAAATTGGCCCTTAAAAACAACAAGATATAATGTCATACAAATTAACCTATTTTTTCAATTATATTTGCAATTGTTGAGAAAACCAACCTGAAGGTGGAACATTCCGAACTTTTCTGTCATAGCTGGTAGAAAGTACTTCTTGAATATCATTGCGTTTGCAAGGTGAACGATTGCTGTGCGAGCGGAAAGGTACTCTTTTAGCTGTTTGAACACAAAGGTCGTCTTGTCAGTCCCAAAAACTCCATAGATTAGGCACAAAAGAAAACAAAAGAAAACTGTCCACAACTTCAACATATGAATGGACCAAAACCTACCATTACCAAAGCAAAAACCAGGACTAATCAAGTTGTCATCTTGATTGATTGGCTTCAATTTCTCTATATGACGCAAGAGGTGGCGGAACAAGGCCACCATAACTGCGATCGAACATGTCAACATAAGATGATTACATGTAAGCTTAAAATATAAAATCTATGTGGAATAATCCACATATATATAAAGACTTGATTAGAAATTTTGCACTTGAAGCATAAGTTTATTAAATGTTCGTGGTAAAAGTTGTATTTGATAATGTATTCTATAGCAAACTAACCTTGTTAATTAGGTTGATTTTATAATGTGCAAATTAAGCTTGAAGGGACGAGCATGGTGCTGCGTCTATTCTATTTGGGAACTAGGAAGATGTGGTGAGAAGAGGGGAGAAGATGAGTAATATCCAAAAAGATTATTGTAGGTTTAATGAGATATTGACTTGCATAGCATGCACTCATCAATTGTCACACAATGTGGATTTGAAATGTCTAACAAAAATATGGCATCCCTATCATTATTGTATAAGTTTTTATTTGTAATTCGGATTTGTAACACATGTCAATGTTTTAACTATATATGCACATAAAATGAAAAGTCTCCACTTAAAATTTTCTTTTGATTAAAGGAGCTCTACGAGATAAACCTTCAAATTGGACCTTTAAATGGGACTCATTGGACCTCATAAGGTCTACAAATTGAGGTTTGTTGAACTTGTTTGTACCATATCTGACCCTCCACTCGTACAACGACACGTGGATCTCATAAACTCGCCCAAGCACCCAAGGCCTCGGACAATCGGCATAGGCTACTGATGATATTGTCTCAAAGCAGCAAAAGATCATTACAGGGCCCAACACAGCCTACAATCGGTATCCCCTACCGATTCTGCGGAATCAACCTCGAAGCACCCGCCTGAAATATCTTAGGACTCGTGTCAACCTCATAGGGCCCTCCCACGAGTCCCACATCGAAAATGAGCACTAAGAGCATACTATATGCCCTCTATAAATACGCCCCTCCCACTACAATATAGGGGTAAGACTTTTCAGCTTGACTTTTATACTTCTATATGGTCAACAGCAAGAGCTCTTAAAAACAATCTTACTCGAGCATCGGAGGGTCTTAGGCTGGTTCCACACCGGTTCCATAGACCTCACGAGCTTCGCTTATCTTCTATTCAGGATCAGCATCCAAGGACAGGAAGAATCGGCATCCAACACCCAATCGATCTCTTGATCGTCCATCCCACTTGTAAGTTGCACTCATCTCTATCTATTCAAGATTTAGCTACAACTCATACAACGACACGTGGATCAGAGAAGCTCACCCAAGTACCCAAGGCCTCGAACAATCGGCATCGGCTACCGATGACATTGTCTCAAAGCTGCAAACAACCGATACAGGCCCAGCTCGTCTACAATCGGCACCCCATACCGATTGTACATAATCAGCCTTGAAGCACCCGCCCGAAATATCTAAGGACTCGTGTCAACCTCACAGGGCCCTCCCACGAGTCCCACATCGGAAATGAACACCACAAGCATCCCAAATGCCCTCTATAAGTATGCCCCTCCCACTACAATACAGGGGTAAGACTTTTCAGCTTGACTTTTATACTTCTATATGGTCAACAGCAAGAGCTCTTAAAACAACAAACTTACTTCGGCATCGGAGGGTCTTAGGCTGGTTCCACACCGGTTCCATAGACCTCACGAGCTTCGCTTATCTTCTATTCAGGATCAGCATCCAAGGACAGGAAGAATCGGCATCCAACACCCAATCGATCTCTTGATCGTCCATCCCACTTGTAAGTTGCACTCATCTCTATCTATTCAAGATTTAGCTACAACTCATACAACGACACGTGGATCAGAGAAGCTCACCCAAGTACCCAAGGCCTCGAACAATCGGCATCGGCTACCGATGACGCTGAATTGGGTTCATGTCTTGAGTTGGGTCTATCAACCATCCATGATCCTCCTGATAGTATTAGGTCTTTTCTTAATGAAGATTTACTTGGAGTCTGTAGGCTCCAAGCCATTGTTTAATTTCTTTGTTGGGCGTTAGCCCCGTTTCTTCAACAACAACAAAAAAACAAAAAAATGACTTTTCTCTAACATACCCTTCTCATCCAAGAAGCCACCAAATACATCTGTATACATTATATATTAATGTGAAAAGTTAAATAACAGGAAATAAGATAAATTTGTGGGAGTTGTTTACAAGTACGTGCAAACGTATGGTTGATAGTTTTGCAATTAATCTATATAATATACCTTGTGATACTTTATAGCCATGCTGCCTAAGGATCTTAAAGTGCAACGCAGTAGCATACAGGTTCTCTGTCATGTAGGGATCGTTATTTTCAATAGATGCTATTGTGTCTAGGGCTTCCTTAATTTCCTAGAGGCCTAGTTTTCCAATGCTATCAATCAACTCCAACTAAGCTATCAAAACATTTGTTTCAACAAACATCATATGATTCTTTACATCTTCTATTAGCTTCTCAAACTGCCTTGTATAATTATCTCCCTGCACTCAGTTAATGTGTGCATTAAATAAAGTTTAGGTTATTAATATCGACGAGTAGTCAGAAAAAAGTTAATTAGGACAAAGATAACTCTCGTCGTATTTGCTGTTAAGAGATTCAAGGAAACCATACTTCCAAATATTTGGCTTGTAATTGGCAGATCGTCTTTCATGCATCAAGTTAGAGGCTTGGGATTTCATCCGGCATTCTAGAATTTGCTGCTCATCAGCTTGCAAATCCATAATGGAAACTTGGTGTACAGCAAGAGAGTAGGATTGAAACCTTGTTATCAGCAACAAGAAAAAGTGTTTGAAATCGGCCACCCTTTTGCTCCACAATGTCCACCGCATAATCAATTGCCGGAGCATAAGAAATTGGCCCTTAAAAACAACAAGATATAATGTCATACAAATTAACCTATTTTTTCAATTATATTTGCAATTGTTGAGAAAACCAACCTGAAGGTGGAACATTCCGAACTTTTCTGTCATAGCTGGTAGAAAGTACTTCTTGAATATCATTGCGTTTGCAAGGTGAACGGTTGCTGTGCGGGCTGAAAGGTACTCTTCCAGCTGTTTGAACACAAAGGTCGTCTTGTCAGTCCCAAACTCCATAGATTAGGTACAAAAGAAAAGAAAACAAAACTGTCCACAACTTCAACGTATGAATGGACCAAAACCTACCATTACCAAAGCAAAAACCAGGACTGAAGTTGTCATCTTGAAAACAATCTTTTCTGTCATTGCTGGTTGAAAGTACTTCTTGAATATCATTGCGTTTGCAAGGTGAACGATTGCTGTGCGAGCGGAAAGGTACTCTTTTAGCTGTTTGAACACAAAGGCCGTCTTGTCAGTCCCAAACTCCATAGATTAGGCACAAAAGAAAACAAAACAAAACTGTCCACAACTTCAACGTATGAATGGACCAAAACCTACCATTACCAAAGCAAAAACCAGGACTGAAGTTGTCAGTTTACATATATAGACGCAAAGGTGTGGGTCATATACTACTCCTCCTACATAACCTTTGACACGGGCTTTCTTGGTCCCAGCAACAGACATCATGTAGGACGTATAGACGTTTTAATGATGTGACATGTTGTTCAAATTAAGCCTCTCACCTATTACGAGAACATTTCGACCACTGGCTTCGTGATAAACCTCATCTGGTGTTCAGTGGCGAAGCTCCTAGGCGCCCCCATATAATTTAGGAGATATTTGCAGAAATGTCACATGAACTTATACATTTGTCATTTTAAAGAAAAATTTAAGTCATATATCACCTTAAGTTTTCAAAATTTATGATTTGTCACATAACTTTAACATCATCCAATTTTCCATTCATTTTGAAGAAAATTTTAGTCTTTCCAATATGTAAACCCTCTTTTTTATATAATATAAAGCTATGTAAACCCTCTTACTTGGAAAGACTAAAATACAATTTAAAATATATGGAAAATTGGATGATGTTAAAGTCAGGTGACAAATCATGGATTTTGAAAACTTAAGGTGACATTTTGCTTAAATTTTTCTTTAAGGTGACAAATTGAAACTGATGTATAAGAAAAAAAAATCCCTATAATTTACTAATAGACAACTTGTAATTTAAATTCATCTTGAAAACAATCTTTTCTGTCATTGCTGGTTGAAAGTACTTCTTGAATATCATTGCGTTTGCAAGGTGAACGATTGCTGTGCGAGCGGAAAGGTACTCTTTTAGCTGTTTGAACACAAAGGTCGTCTTGTCAGTCCCAAAAACTCCATAGATTAGGCACAAAAGAAAACAAAAGAAAACTGTCCACAACTTCAACATATGAATGGACCAAAACCTACCATTACCAAAGCAAAAACCAGGACTAATCAAGTTGTCATCTTGATTGATTGGCTTCAATTTCTCTATATGACGCAAGAGGTGGCGGAACAAGGCCACCATAACTGCGATCGAACATGTCAACATAAGATGATTACATGTAAGCTCTCCATAGATTAGGCACAAAACAAAACAAAACAAAACTGTCCACAACTTCAACATATGAATGGACCAAAACCTACCATTACCAAAGCAAAAACCAGGACTAATCAAGTTGTCATCTTGATTGATTGGCTTCAATTTCTCTATATGACGCAAGAGGTGGCGGAACAAGGCCACCATAACTGCGATCGAACATGTCAACATAAGATGATTACATGTAAGCTTAAAATATAAAATCTATGTGGAATAATCCACATATATATAAAGACTTGATTAGAAATTTTGCACTTGAAGCATAAGTTTATTAAATGTTCGTGGTAAAAGTTGTATTTGATAATGTATTCTATAGCAAACTAACCTTGTTAATTAGGTTGATTTTATAATGTGCAAATTAAGCTTGAAGGGACGAGCATGGTGCTGCGTCTATTCTATTTGGGAACTAGGAAGATGTGGTGAGAAGAGGGGAGAAGATGAGTAATATCCAAAAAGATTATTGTAGGTTTAATGAGATATTGACTTGCATAGCATGCACTCATCAATTGTCACACAATGTGGATTTGAAATGTCTAACAAAAATATGGCATCCCTATCATTATTGTAT